CAGCCGAGCAGTGACCCCTGCCACCGGCCGCCTGTGGAGCTGGAGCGCCCTGTCCTCCCTCCTCAGCGATGGGCGCGCGGTGGGATGTGTGTGCACTGCTGCTCTCCACAGCGTTGCTGGCCGCCCAGGCTTTCCCCCAGACAAACATCAAGATCAGCCAAGGTAAGTGCAAAGTGGTAGCGGCTCGGGGCAGAGGTAACCTCAAACGGCAGCGGCTTGAGCCGGGAGAGGGGAGCGTGTACCTCCTGCGGGGTCAGCAGCTGGCATTCCCCTTCCTCCCTCTGCTCCAGAAATCTCTGACTTTCCTTGAAATCAGCTTTCTGCTTCACTGGGGGGACATGCCCAGAGCACCCCCAGTCTCTCTCCCGGGATGTTGAAGCTGTCTCGGGTCTGGCTTTGTGTCAGAGGCTGTGCTTTTGCCTTCAGCAACGCATGGTGCTGTGGACCCTCAGCTGTCCCTGCTGTGGATCTGGTGGGGATGGCAGGGACAGAAACAACTGCCTGGGGGCATACACGTGGGCAGCGTGGGGCTGCAGCCGTACAGCCCGGCAGGACAGGCTGGGGGTGGGTCAGCGTGGTTCCACATTTATTTATTCACACTTATTGCATGTGAAAAGTGGCCACGAATAAGTGATTTCCCCCTTGTTCTCCCTTTTAAAAAAATTTTTCTGAGCTATTGGTTATGGCGGCTGCCTTATGTCACTTAAGGTTGTTGCAGACTTTTCACGGGGCTGGCGTGAGCGAGAGTTGCTCCTTTTGAGTTTGTTTGCAGCCTGTTAGATTTGTATGGGAATGTGAGCAGAAAGGGACTCTAAGTGCTGTTTGGTGAGTTTGTGAGAAAATGGATCGATACAAGCCCAGCTTTCCTGCCAGACACCTAATCCGTGGGAGCTTTGCCGTAACTAATTAAGGAGAGGGGGAAAAAAAAAGAAAGATAACGCCTATCTGTTAGTGCTGGGTGCAGGAGGGCTGCTGCAGCCTCACGGCTCCAGATGTATGTGGCAGAAGATTTGGAGTTGTAAAACCAGCTTGGTTTTGTTACAGGGTTAGAAAAGCAGAGCCCTCTGTGCAAAAGGATCTCTCTTCCAATGTGCTTCAACTGGTGCTTAAAATTTTACTTGGAAATTTGTAATATATACTCTAAAAAATACTTCAGAGTGTGTAAAATATCACCCAGTCAGTAAACTATCTTCATGTCCATCAGTGGATAGCATCCCCTCCAGCTCCATACATCCCCCAGGCACACTGAGACAGAAAACCCTCCCAGGATCTGCTTGTTTTGAAGGTGGACGCTAAACATGAGAGTTTTTCATCTGTTAATGAAAGGTAAATATGGCAAATCACATGGAGGTGGGATTGTTTGTCTGTGGGGGACCTGAGGCATCTCAGCATCCCATGGTCGCACTGTCTGAGCCCCTGCTACATGCTCCTGCCCACCAAATCCCCTTTTTGATGCTCATTCTTTGGGTTTATTCAGTAAAGAGGCAGTGGGCTGGTGGATGTGTCGAGGCTGTGGCGGGATGGTGGTCTGGCTCAGCTGCACTTTGAACCCCTGGCCTCACCGCAGGCTGCGTCTGCTGAAGCTGTCCTGGGGCTCCGGGGGCTCTCCTGTCCCAGCCCGGTTGTCTCACCCATCCCCTCTAACTGTCCACTGCTCTGGCAGCACCAGCACGGGGTAAAGCCCCACGCTGGTAAGAGGCAGCTCGGTGTCAGGGAGCACTGGGATGCTTGTTCTGAGCCCCAACTCTGGTCACCAGCTGGGAGCGCTCCCCATCCCTCCCTGGCAGCATCGCAGCCCTCGGGTACCAGTGGGGGGGCTCCATGGGCAGCTCTGTCCTGGGAAGCATCCAGCTTTGCGCGGGGTGAGGATCTCCTCAGCTCCTCTCCTTTGGCACCCACTTCAGACAAGCCTCTTGGGTGTTGATGGATGCCCTCCAACCCCAGCTGCTTGCCAAGAGCCGAAGAGGTTCACTTGCTGTGTCAGGTCAGACAGCAGCATCAGCTGACGGATGTGCCAAGGGGGTGGTTCAAGACCATGCCTTTCAGCGGGGTGTCTCCTAGCAGAGCCTTCAAAGCTCTGCAGCAACAAGAGCATCTGCTGCCAGCACTGATCTGTTCTGATCTGCTGTCCAAAACCCTCTGATGGAGCTCCAGCCCCGCCACCCCCAAGAGCCTTCCATGCACCAGCATCTCTTGCCAACCTTGTCAGAGCCTCAAACTTCGTATCTCACATCTGCAGGTTGCTGGAATTGAGGCAGCATTGCACCTTGGGATGATGCTGTTCAGGAAAAAATCTGTTCTTCACAAGTCATGCAGGTGGTATTTTTCCTTTTTCAGTAGCATCCGGGAATAAAAAAACCTCATGAAACTGGCTGGGGTTTTCTCAATTAATTGTTTCTGGTTGGAAAGTGCCCACTTGGGCAAGGTAAACTTTTTGACAGAGCAGTGCCAGCTTCTGCATGATTTCGACATGTGATTTTCCTGGCGGTTCTGCAGTGGGTCAAAGATGTAAAGAAATAAAAAGGCACCAATTTTGTTGGCAGAGAAACAAAGCTAGAGAGCGCAAAACACTTTCTGACCCAAAAATTCTTGTTTTCCAGCTTTTCTGAGTTAGTAACACCTGCCTGATATGAATCTTATTGTCAAACATTTATTTTGCTGGTACTGCGTTAAAACATGGCCCTGACCTTAAATCCGCTGCACTGTAAATAAGCAAAGGGAGGAAGGACTCCTGCCATCATTTTTCCCATTTCCATCCCCAGCCCTCTGGGGACAAATGGATGAACTGACTTTGGGTGGGCAGGAGCCCTCATCCCCCAGCGGTGGCTGTGCCGCTCCTGCCCTGTGCGGAGGAGCTGGTGCTGCCCAGGATGATGTTTTCTGGGGTGGTGAAAAGTGAGGATCTGGTCTAAATAGCCCCCAAACCTTCCCCTTTTAAACCAAAATACCATCAGTAGCTGCTGCTTTGGGTTATGAGGGTTCCCTACATATCCATGAGTGGGCTCATACACTCACAACCATACATCCAGCTTCTTACGGCTTTTCTGCTAAAAACAGCCCCCAAAGACCACAGACAGAAGCAGCAATCCCAGATGAGTCTGCCTGTAAAACTGTGAGCAATAGTTCTCCTCCAAAGAGGCTGCCAAAGCCTCTGATCCTGACCTAACAGAAAAGATGCTAATTAAATGCTGACCTCCCGTATTTTCCTTTTCGGTATATTTAACCTTAAATTCCTTCAGGCACCTCTGGTTCGCTGAAGCTCGTCAAATTAATGCTACCTAATGGGAAGCAGTATGGAATAACAAAGAGGGACTGTCTCCATCTCTGACTCGGTTTGGGCTGCTCTGAACAAAACAGGGATGATTTTCCTGGGCGTTTGGGGTGCTGACAGACCCGGCTTGGAGCCAGGGCCCCAGGAGGACCCCTGCAATTAGCACTGGGGAGCGAAGGGCCCTGTTTGCTGGGGATGCTGCTGGGTTGAGCCCTGTGAATTTTGGCACCGAGCTGCTAGAGGTGAGGATTTTGTCAGGTGCTTCACAGCTTCTCTAATAAAATCCCCCCCATTGCTGGGGGAGCTGGCGGTGCCCGTCTGCCGCAGACCCCGGGGTGCCCTCGGTGGGAGGGAGCAGCAGCCTGGAGCAGCTGCAAGCTGGGACCAGCTCCCAGCCCTGTCCTGGGATGGGGGGGATGTGCCAAGGGACCCGGTGGTAAAGCCGAAGCCTCGTCCCGTTGGGTCGACCCTCTGCCCTTACTCTGCTTTGCTTCTGATGGGGACAGGGACCCCTGGCTGGGTGGGGAGGAGGGCTGGGCTCCCAGGAAATCACATCAGCTCTTGCCGTTCCTGTCCTTCTGCTCTATTGCTGTAATGGCAACAATTTGCATTTTTTAGGGCTATTCTGAAATTTATCCAAATGCAAGGTGGCTGGGTGTGAAGCAGAGCGCTGAGCCTGGCATTGCCACAGAGCTGGGTGCGGCTTGGCCCCCCTCCTGTAGAGCTGTGCCTCCTGTTCCCAGCCCAGCGTGCCTTATCTGTTTCCTTCTGAAGCCCATAGCTGGAGCTGATGAGGATGGGATTGCCCCTCACTGCTCTCGGCGGGGGCAGTGGGGTCCAGAGCGGCTCCAGCCACGGCTCCTTGCAGGGAGCAGCTGGGGGTCCCATGGAGGGGTGATGGGGTGACAGCTCAGCACAGCGGGTGCTGCTGGCAGTCGGCCCGGCCTCTGCGCCTGGCTCAGGAGATAAAAAAGGCTCTTTGCAGTAGTGGTTTGTCACCTGGGAGGGATGTGTGTGCCCAGGGGCTGGCTGGCGGGTGTTTGTTGGGGATCCCCAGGTAGAAGGAGCTGGTGAAATATGAAATTGTTGCCTGGAGCTTCTGGTGCTGGGGAAGGGAAGGAGTCAGTCCATGAATGATCCCGCAGCTGCTTTGAATTCCCCTCGTCTCTCCCTTTCCCCACATCAATGCCTGCCCTCACTGCTCCACGTCCCCTGCTGCCACTGTCAGGCTTTTGTTCTCCCCACCCTCCAGCAAAGCCATTTCCCCCCAGCTCCTCGGAACTGGAAGCCCTGCAGTAACACCCCGACCTGGCCAGACCTGAGCCTGTTACCTGCTTGGATGGTTTCATGGCATCTGATGTCTGCCGTGACCCCTGCTCCCTCTGCCTGCCCAGCAGCAGTGCTGGCCCCAGACCAGGACCCCGTGGGGATGCAGGAGTTGGCTCAGGGGAGTTCCCCACTACTCAAAAACCAGCAGCTAGGAGAGTCAAGCCAATGTGCCACCTGATTTGGGGCTTACGTGTGCGTCCGTGCTGGGCGGTGTGTTGTGTGTGCAGCATCCGCCCCATGGGGGAGCGGGACGTGGAGGAGGTTGGGGGAAGTGTTAATGCTGCTGCAGCGGTTACACAGCGGCAAAGGCTCCAGAAGAGCATCCTGCCCCCCAAAGAGCCTCTCTTGGGGTAACTTCTCCGCTGTGCTGAGAGCTGGCCAGGGAAGTGGAGCAACCCCGCTGGCCCCAGCTCTTATCTCACCCCTGGAGGCAGATATGCCGGCACCGCTCCTGGTGGCACGTACCTCGCCCGGCTATTTCTGGGGCTGAAATCCAACATGTGCATACGTGCACGGGCCCAGGGACACAGCGAGGGGGTTTGCTCGGAGGGAGGAGGTGCAAGCTGGCCTTTCAGGAGGCGAGGGCAGGAGGGTAG